ACATTGATACATTGTAGCTAAGAGTTCCCTTTTATTTAACAAATCTTACGTGACCAGAAAAAACAATCGCGCGCGGAAAAATAGTCTTTGCATTTGCTCACGTCAGCAGCGTACACCCATGGGCAAATTGGGGACGCTAAATTGACCAATCAGGGCGCGCGCTTTAATTTGGTTATGTTATAAAAACAGTTGATAGATGAACTTCGTAATGGGCTTTGCTCACCATAGAGTCTGTGGCTCAGTAGTAGAGCATCGGAGCGCGGAATCTGAGGTTCGATTCCTCACGGCGACTTGGAGATTTTTCTTGCCCCACTCTCGTGACAGGAAAAAAAACATCTTTCTATACTTTCAACAATTGTTAAGGATGTCAACAGAAGCCTTTATTTTACAAACGTTTTTTCGCAAGGTGTAATTCCTTTATTCTCTTAATATCAGTTTTTTTTTTCTAACACCAACGCTCCGATTCAAAGCAAGGAGTAGAAATGGAAACGAACGAACCGCTCAGGCAATCAAACTTTGATAAAAAGCAATCAAACCACTTAAAGTGAACTTACTTCGTAAACTCCGCGTCAAAGTCATCGTCTTTTGCTTTAAGGTCCTATTACAATAATAAGTTGGACAGTTAATAAGTCAAATGGCAAATCACAGTCGTAAATACTGAAAAGGCATCCTTTAGTTCCATCTTTAGCCAATCTATCAAGATGGACGAAGCATGCGACTTATATTAGCTTCGTTTATGTGGGGGAGGGGGTGTGTGAGAAACGAGTCACTGAATGCACCCCCTTCCCTCCCCTTTCACTGATCTGTAAGGGCACTGATCTCCGCTCTCTCTAAATTGAATTTGCTATCGACACGATCTTAATTAAATTTGCTGTCCAGCTACACCAATACCAACGTATAAACAAAAAAGAGAATACACATAGAGAAGCATGCAAATAAAATTAATAATACAAAATATTACAGAGAAGTAGTAGCCCCGTTGAAGTAATAGCAAAATTCTGAGATTGCTTTGTTTTTGCTTCATTTCCCTCAGTGATTTGTCTAGAAAACTCACGCCACTCTTTCAAGCGATCACATGAAAATCTAAATAAAACCTTCGGCAACTTTGCCGCGCTAATCAGGCGGCTTGTCCGTTTTCACTCTGAGATCTTCCTAGCTCAGTTACATGTAGTTTATCTCTTCGCGGTGACCGGCCTTTGTAATTAGCTTGGTCTTTTAAGCCTTTAATTCCCAGTGGTTAACATGTAACTTCTCCCTTTAACAATCATACATTATCCGGCAAACAGGTAATGAGAATACTCAAACTTATCAGGTAGAAGTTGTCATCTTGATCTAACACCAAATTCTCTCAACTTGTTTTGAAGGAAATGTGTAACAGGTAGAGAGGAGAATTAACAATCAGATCTTGGGGGTTAAAGAGTTAACGACACACAATCGAATAGCACTCTAATTAGCTTTTCTCGTGACAATAAGTACGATATTGACGCTAATAAAATTCCTTACCAAGGCTTGAAATTTATTATTGGAGTCTTCCATTCCATCCGAAGTAGAGTCTGGAGATAATTGAATTTTTGGCGCGTCCACTCTATTCTTTCTGGGTATAGGGGTCGCATAAATGTCAACGTTTTCATTTTCAACCTTAGGCGTGGCCTGTCCAGTATTCTCTTTGTTGTCCCGTGCGACACGCGAACACCCTTGATCCTTTTCGGGTTTATCGCGTCCGGTATTTTTCTCGTGGTTTTCATATGCAAGCTTAAAGGCATCAGCAATGGTAAGGGCCATAGCTTGAGCCTGAAATGAAGTTATCATTCATCATATAGTCAGCTTCTTTGTCATTCTACTTGGAACCTTGATAAAACAAAGTTCCTGATATTATAGTTTTTCCCTTCACATGGCATCTTAAGCGTTGAGGATGGGAAAGGGGGGAGGGAAGGGGGAGAGGACAATGACATTACTCGATAGGAAAAAATTACATATGCATTAACAGCGTAGTGAACGTGCCTTTTATAAAAGCATCCACTTAACTAAGAGAAAATAACGTTGAACACAATTTGATAAGGTAAGGTATGGAGCAGTAATTGTCAAAGGTTTATGAGCGGAAACAAAGAAAGACCACGTTCTGCCTTTACTTGTAACCAATTTAGCTAGGTATTCTCGACTGAGAACATAGATTTGCAAAGTGAACATTCCCATAAATAAATAAATAAAAAAATAGGCGGGGGATACAATTCCCCCCCCCTCCCTCCCTCGAAAAAAAAGATAACAAACTGATAGATGATAAAATAATAATAATGATAATAATAATAATAATAATAATAATAGCAGCCTTGTATATAGGGTTCTAGATTTGCCCTTCACCTTTCTCTTTTCTGTATAGTTTTAAATATGCTTTTACTTATCAGATTATTAGACTTTAAATATGTTCAGATTTGACTCCGTTATTTATAGTTTTCCAGACGCTTTGACAAAAAAAAAAAGGAGTAGATGTGAGCCGAAAGTGAGTTATTTTGGATCGTTTTTTACGCTGTTAATATTTTGTATTGTAGAGGATTTTATGGAAATTATTGCTAAATAAAATTATAATAATAATAATAATAATAATAATAATAATAATAGAAAAAGTATGTAGCACCGATATCAATATTGCTATTTTCATCATCTTAGTGTTCTTTAAATTCTTATTTTTTTTAACGTTTTTCGGAAAATAACGATAAAATAACAACAAGAGAAAAATAAATCAGCAACGGAAATAAAAACATTAAAAAAAGGAGAATTGGAAGAATACTATGACTAAATCGAGGACTGTACCATTGCCGGTTTGCTGCACAGGAATGCGTGACATGTCAAATCTTGTTTGCCTTGTGATCGACAAATGAACGCAAACACTTTGGGGAAGGTTGAGTCGGCCACACAATATGAAACGCTAGAGATGAAAAAAAAAAAAAAAAAAAAGACAAAGAGATTTGTACATCGGTGCACCTGAGAGTTCTCAGTAAAGCTAGAAGCTGTATATGAAGAAAAGCGGTTACGATGATGAACCGGCGGTTACGCATTAAAAAAATATCTGGACAACGTCAAAACCTGTCAACTGAGAAGATGGAGGGATGGGAGGTAGGGAATGATCACTAGAGGAGAACTGCAAGATGCGCGTTTCTACACTCGATGGAAGATTGGAGACGAGTCGGGAAAAGGTTTTCCGAGGGTTTGGCACTAATACCCTTTGCAGAACTCTCGTCGGCTCGCTTTGCTTATATTCAGTAAGCGCTGATTATGAGGTCCTATTCGCAAGCTAGTGTACTAAAAAGAAGACAAAAGTATTAGTAGAGGTGATAACGCATGTGCAGTTTGGCATTTCTCATTTGTAACTAACTGACTCTTTAAAGAATGAACTCCTATTCAGTGGGGAGCAAAATGTTGCTCATGGTAATGGGTATCATGTAATGTAGCTTGAAGGCGACTCACCGATAGATTGGGATCTCCATGATCTTCTCCTGAAGATAATAAAATCAAAGTGATATGAATTAGATTTCGATGACATTTGAATGTTATTTCATGTTTGCGTGAAACAGAGAAAAAAAAGTAAATGGCGCGATGGTAACCGTCAGAGCGAAAAAGGAGGAGGTTTGGGTCGAGTCGCGTTATCATGCGACCCGACTCAACCCTCCTCGATTTTTCACTCCTCCGCTTTTATCTTTCGCACTTACGCCTGAAAGAGGCTAAAATAAATGAGAACTACATGTACCTTTGAAATCATATCTTCTATGGATAGCTTACGGGTGGAGACGGTAATTAAAACCTTTTGAAGGCTTCCACTGGCTGGGGTGTTCTTTGTCTAAAGAATAATATAAAAATATGATGACAAATCCACTTCTCCACACCATTTTTAAGCTCCATCCATTGACTATAGGTGCTTGCTTTTGTGTAAATCTGGGCCCAGATTTACACAAACTTACTGCGTTATCCACCCCTTGAATAACCGGAGCATGGAGTACACTACCGGTGTTGATTTTGGGGTGTAAATGTTACTGAAAAGCAATATAAGTTGTTTTATTCCTGCAGCCACGGATCCAGTGACATCATATCACCAAAATATGCCAAGGTATCCTACGAGGCGAAACCCTTAAGCTCATCCCACCGCGACTCGATTCTGCTGGCATATAAAGTGATTTGTTTTAATTTTATTTTACAGGATACGGTGGGCTTACCTTCTTCGTGTTTGCGATAATACTTTGCACAGCTTCATCCGTACATCCTGAGCCCTGGGCTTGTAACACAGGACAGGATCCAAGTATCTGCAAATGTAACATAGGGAAGTTGGCTGACATGTCCCACAAAGAAATTGTCATAGTGGGTGACTGAAAATGAAAGTGTGCGAATACCTTGACATAGAAGTGAATTCCTTCTTTCAAAGATTCTTCAGCATGAAGCCAGTCTTCTTGATATTTACCTGTAAAGTGACCAGTAAATGCGATTAGGTTTCACTGGGATTGAAAATCTTCATGAGATTTTGTGTCACTTCATCCTCGGAGACCCAGGGGCAGTGAGTCGATTTCAAGTTAAGGGCAGAAGAGCCCCTGGGGACACTGTCTTACAAGACTAGTTCCAAACGGTTGCAGTCGTTCTGGCATCTGATTGGTGCCAGAAAATCTTTGTGTTTTTCTGCCCAATCAGAGTGAAGTGTCGTTTGGAGTCCTTTCGTGTGTTTTAACACGCACATATACAACAAGCTCTGTTGCTCGCTATGTTTGTCTCGGCCGTGCGACGAAGCTTTGCGCGAGGTGAAAAGTTTCAGTCTCAACACACAATGTAAGAGAAATCGATCAGATTGTCCGCGAAATCTTACCGGAAATTATACTGAATACTTTCGCAGGTATCACAAGAGAACGTGTTTAAAAGTTTGCGAGGTTCGTATAAAACATAATGGTTGCAGGCATTGATATGTCGCTTTAAACGTTAGATGAGATGTAAGCTTAAATATTTTTAGATTTTTTGTACAATTTGTTGTGACTGAAACTTTTCCAATCCCGTGAAGTTATTTCGTCGCACGGGCCACGCAGGTATGTCAAGCAACTGGCGCTTACGCTTACGTAGCTTTCTGTGCGCGCCAAATTCTAATCGTTGCTTTGTAGTAAAGTCTTTAAAATATGGCCAAACTTGCAGAGAACGTTAAGTACGTGGACGACCTCCAGCAAGCGCTTAAAGAAAGCTTAGCTGTGTTTCCGGTTAGCTAATTAAAATCTGAACAAAAACTAATCATCGAGAACATCGTGGAAAGGAGATATGTTTTCGGACAGTTACCGAAGGGGTTTGAAGAAAGTTAATCTTTCAACTGCTGCNAAACAAAAACATCAGCACCCACTAAAGAAGAGACAAAATAAAACAAACACGTGCACAAATTTTAGCTCCACAATATCTTTACTTTTAGAGTTTTCTCATATTTGTGCAACAGACTTATTCATAATTCAATCAGGCAAAGGTGAACAATTATACACTGAAGTGGAGTTGAAATCCACCTCTTTCACCGAAACTGAACGGTTGATTCAAAATACATCGCACAAGAACCAAAAAAGGAGTTCATTAATCTCTGTCGATATGTGGAAAAATGGTTGGAAAATTTGGAAACTTTTGGAGCATCATTTTTTTTCTGTCAGGAGGTAGACAACGTTGGAAACTGAATCACTTTCGAACAGGCCAATCAGTGCGCGAACCTGGGGCGGATCCAGGATTTAGTCAAGGGGGGTTTGGAGGGGGGTTTGGAGGGGGGTTCGGAGAATTGTTCCCTTCTGAGGGGTCCAAGATTTTGAAAATTAGGTCTTCGGAAACATGATTTCCAGCGTTCTGAGGGAAAATTTAGGAGGTTCGACCGAACCACCCCTGGATCCGCCCCAAAGACGCACCCCGCATCAGCTGTGTGGCATGCACCATAGCTTATAATGAGGCTGATATTGAACATTTTTGTCGTTACTAATACAAAATTGATATTTGTCAGTCTACACCGTTACTTGACGATTACGTAGGTGAAAAGAACGTGAAAAAAACCACGAAACAACTGCTGGCGAAGATGCATTAAAATCAGTGCGTAAATAACCTGTTAAACTACATTTTTTCCATCTTAACTAAAGCGTACGTATCTGATAATATTGACTCCTGGTAAGGATATTTAACCTTCTTAATTGTTTCGTTTCGTGTGAACAGTAGCCAATATGAATAACTGTAGTCCTATATCCATTTTAAGTGTTGAATGTTTGAGCGAAGCGTAGTACGTTTTATTGCAACTTTGACATTGCAGAAGCAACCTAATAACTCAAGATAATCGGTTTGTTATTGATTCTGAACAGCTTTAAATTTGCAAACAGTAAGTCATGTGGTGAATGGACGCTATTGAACCCAGCGCGGACCCAAAGGGTAATTTCATGACAGGTACCGGTGGTATTGTCTTGTTATTTGGTAAAATATTATGCAAGAAATATTCCACAGGGAAAATTTCTATCTTTCAATTGTTATAAACCAATAAACAAAACATAACAAAACAAAGCGAAAAAACAGCATTAAAAAAACAACAACAACAAAAAGGACAAATTAAAAAAAACATCAAGGTTGTCGCCGTATCGTAGATAAGAGCCTCTATTTCAAGACGTACTTTTCAGTTGGTAGCAAATTTACCCCCGTTCTTTTCTTCGCTAACATTTCACTGAAGTTGACTAGAAACATTAGGCAAAAGATCTGAATAACTGAAATCGCTTCAGTGTAATACTTCTGCTTGCATCGCTGAAAATGAACGTAAATAAATACTATTATTGATTTCCATCTTTACTCAAACGGACGGAAGGATGTTCGATGATAAACATGGTTCTCAGTGACCATGTTGCATCGAAGTGAAGTTTGCAGATCGAATGAGCAATTTAAGATATAGAATTTGATCGATTCTGTGATAACCTTTGCAATGTTTCAGCACGAAGAAATGGTTTCAAATTTTCCGTACTTGTGTATAATACGTCACGATACTGAACACAATAAACAAACCATTTGGACATTAAAAGTAAAAACTTTAAGGTCC